CTAATTTCCCGTACCTGAGAGCCCCACTACTTGAAAACGAAGGGGTGGTTCTTCCACCAAACAGGTGCAGGTGAAGAGAGGAATTATAACGCTTCCCTATTCTATCCAAAGAGAAGAAAAAGGTTTTGGCTGAAGTTCTACTATAAGAAAAAGTTCAACTACTACCCTAGTATGAACGGTGTATGGATAGATGGGAGAAGCATTCTGCATGTTTTAGTGCCAGTCACCTGGGACTATAAGAGGTACTTGATGTCCAACACCACTTGGATATTACAAACCAGGAGCAGGGTTTGGGTATTATGAAGAATACCGTGTTCGGGTCTATGTGACTATCTGAAGGTGGTCCCAGTACCTGCTGGAGAGGGTACAGGACTAGTCACCAGTATCACCTGTAGTCTCCCTGCAGCAGATCTTTTTTGCATTATTAACCTATTAGGCCTTGTTCTGCACTGTGTCTCTGCGTAAAAGTGGTCACTATGTCGCCCTGAAGAAGGGACCCTGCGTGGCCCCAAAAACATTGGCTTAATGAGGCTTGTGACACATTTATTCAATAAAAAAGCAAATGGATTTGATGCTTTAGACTGAGTGCTGGTGATCTTAGTCTTCTCCTATTCTGGAAAAAACAGCGCCATCCGTGCAATCACTACGAGCACCACGACTGTTAATCGAGGTCATATCGCTGTAACGAGTGCAGGTGACACATCAGAATACTGTCTATGGGAAGGCGGACATCATGGTAGAGTAGGAAAGGTTGGCTTCCTCATGTCAGATCTACCCCCTGTTGACTAATGATCGGCGGTATAAAGACCAAGAAGCAGCATTAGAAATTGAGGATGCACAGATCCACATAATAAAAAAAGCAATAGCAGGTAGGTCCTTGCACTGAATGTCATCAGGTACAGCTTCCTCTCCAGCAAGGAGAACTGTAGTACAGTATTAACATCACCAAACATCATTTTAAATCTTGTGACTAGCAGACGGCATGGTGATAGATGGATAATCTCAACCTGCAGATGTACAGCTATGAGGATCAAGACTCCGGTGTGCCTAGGCACAGAAATCGCATTGCTATTTTTCGGGAGAAATGTAAGAATCAAGGGGGATTTTTGAAGCTCACAAACAGACAGGACTTATCCAGAGACACAGATACAGTTTCAATTAACCCCTTTCCTCACATATGAGGTTTTTCAACTGGCTGTACTCAACGACCCATAAGCAGGCATAATGTACTAAAAGAAACACGGTGCTGACCCTGAGAAGGAATCAGACCACAGTAGTTATAACGGATCGGAGAAGCCACAGAATTCAATATAAACACTTTATTTGACAATCTTAAATTATAAATTGAAGAGCAACAATCTGGATACATTCTGTTTCCTTTGAGCTCCACTGGAAACTAATTATGCACACTCTCAGCCTGCCGGTACGAGTGAGTTATGTGTGTGAGCGAGACAACGTTGTCCACATTATTGTTTTTAATATGATCGAAGGGTGGGGGGGTTTGGTGACACTTGCTTTTTATTCATGTGCAATAATTTGAGATTGTCAAATAAAAGTGTTTATATTGAATTCCGTGGCTTCTCCGATCCTTTATAACTACTGTGGTCTGATTCCTTCTCAGGGTCAGCACCGTGTTTCTTTTAGGATTTTTGAAGGAACAGTTTAGGTACAATTAAAATTTCTAGGCATTCCCTATAACAGGGGTGCCCACAATTTTTTGTGCTAAGATCTACTTTTCAAATGACAAGCTACATGAGATCTACCAACGAAAAAAAAACCTCCCTCGCTCTCTCTCCTCACTCTCCTGGTGGTCTCTCCTCGGTCTCTCCTGGCTGCCTCTTTGGGAGCTTCGCTCAGCAGACTCAGGCTAATAGGTAATCATGTGTGCACAGCTAAATAAATAAAAAAAAAATGGAATAAAGGGGCCGCCATTCACACCCTTCGTGATCTACCAGCATCAGCTTTGAGAGCTACTGGTAGATCACCATCTACCTAATGGGCACCCCTGACCTATAACATAGCAAATGTTCAGGTCCACCTTAAACCCTCCCATCCTTCTTAAAGCAAAGGAATTTTAAAAAAAGAGGATACTTTCTGAGAGCGAAATGAATTCCTAAACATGAGCCTATTAAATGATGTTGTTTCCGAAAGCATAACGTGTGCGAATGCACAACTGGCCTACAACTCGTCCTTTTATCAAAACCTATAGTGTGTCAGTAATAGTACAGAGATGAGGCCGTGTGTACAG